TTTCTCAAGACTCTCCATCCACAGTGCAGTCAGACAAAGTTTGTTACGTAAAGTTGAACCCGGTCACTGTTCGTCATTTGTTGCTTAGCTTGCTAGTTGTTTTTGTCAGCGGTAGGAGAAAACTCAGGAGAGGATCTACCTATTCCCATCTAGAATGGCTGCTACCATCGAAGCTATCCTTTGCGAGACCTTCGGAGAGACATTTAACTCACGTCTCTGGCTGAAAAAATCGCTCAGCTGTAACACCATTTCGGTACCCAGCTTTCACGCTAGCCGAAGGAAGCACAAGGGCTGGGATACTGTCAGGCTGCCCAAGCCTAGATAAGGGAAGTCAAGAGGCAGAGGTCGGATTCGAACCATGGACCTTTCGGTCAGTAAATTCGCGCCCTAACCACTTGGGCCATCTCGCCCCCTGGCCGAATGTCACAAGAAAAAATATATTAAACCTGAATCCTCCAAAAAGACGCGAATAGTCCAAATTCGAATACTTACAAATGTCGATGACGTTTTCATCCATAGGCACAGATGAAGAGATCAGTCCCAATGTTTCCGGAGAGTTTGCAATCGTATGAGACTGCGATGAGTGGGTACCGGAAACCGATGGGAGTAAAACAATGGTGGGTGGCAAATGGGAAGCGGAACTGCCGACCACATCCGAGGCACTTCGAACGAGAATATCGGTCGGACGATTTGCTGGACGTGAAAAAGTAACAAAAGGTTCAGGTGACTCGAAACGCATTTGAAAGTATGTAAACAAGTGGAAGTCATGCGTTGGATGGAATACATTATTTCAAAGCCACACAAATCGGAGATCGAGATAACGCAGGTATCAATGTTTAGAATCGTGTTCCAAGGACAAGATCACCCATATCTAGGTGATATGATGACTCTCAATTTGTACGACAAATGCATATCAAAAGTGTGTCACGATCGATTGATCTGATGTGAGGGTGAGGGAACCACAAGAATCATATGGTGGTAAAACTACAATTCACAAATGTACGGCACCGTCAACCTCGAGCGTTCTTCGCGAGACGGCGTGCAAAACCAACAACATTTGTGAGGATACAAGAGCAGATTCAACACCGCAGCATCATGACATCCAGCGTAGCAAGTGCAAACAAACGGGGCAAACATGCAGGGTGTCTCACATCGCACGCTAGCCATGTGAAGGGAGAAACAGCTCTGATGCTGCCATGATGACTAGCACAGTAAATCGATCCTAAAACGTGCTAGAACCGTAGATTCCAGATCCTAGGGATTGTCCCGACAAACGTGTGTGAATTTAGCCAGTCAAGCCCACCGCTTTTCTGTCACGAAGAGACTGGACCTTACCGTGGTGTGACGGTTTGCGCACCTCAGTGATCCACTGAACTATACTGAGGAGTGTCCGCACAACACTCACAGAGTCTCTCATACCAAGTTGGTCAATGGTTAGAGGTCTGACGAACACAGTATCCTGGCCCTCCAGGTTGGGGGTTGGAAGATGTGGCGACTTGTTCCGTAGAAACGGTAATGCATTTGCATTTCCCTCCAAACACCGCTGCCTTATGGTAAGGCTTTTGAGCCAAGAACTTTGGTTGAGAACCCTAATCGTCCTCCTATCTAGGTGTGGGCGCCCTGGCAGTATCCCAGCCCTCGTACAACCTACAGCAGTGCAGCATCGGTGTTGAACACTGATGTCATGCTGTCGATGATGGTGATACCCATGTGAAGCCTACGTACCACCCACCCCTTCCCCCGCATTAAGCAGACAAAGGTGCCATGGTCGACCTTTTCTGGATCAGAACATTGGTACTTCACCGCCGTACTGTTATGTCAGTTTAAGTGAACAATTCCTTAGGCTAGAAGAAAGTAGGGTGGAAACGGGAGTCGAGACATCTGAAGTGCCTACACCTTCAACACTCAATCAGACCACCCGAATAGAAAGTGACAACAAGAGCGCCACTGACATCGATAAGACATCAATCATACCGTTCATTGTCTCCAGCCAAGTACAAGGAGGGTCAAGTGGACCCCATCCTGGAAGGTGAGCAGCACAAACGGCACCCGAACTTTTCGTAACATCCTTCAATCCCTCTGTCGACATCCAGGTTTCCGCCACTCCGAACAAGGCACGGAAAACACAACTCGTTTGGGTAGGCTCTAACTGAATATTGATCGCACTGATGAGCGAACATTAGGGTCTCGAGATGTCGGGACGAATCCAGACATGTGTGGAGGACGACGCGTCCCTAAGGTGAATATCGGTCCCACACGTTCCGGATAGCAGGTGCGTTGGCGGGGCTTACCAAACAACCCTTAGTAGCATGTGACCAGCGGAGTGCGTCGTGAAGTTGTTCACGACAAGAACGTCACCATTGGCTGTACAGAGTGACCATATTTGGCCTTTCGGTCATCCCATATATCTAAGCAGAAGCTCTGTATATTGCCTGACAATGCAGCCGTGTCCCGGGTTCTCTGTCTTCTCCTTATCGCGTGGTCTGGCGGGCTCAGTTCAGGCGTAACCAAAAGACGGCCACCCACGATACAACACAAGATGATGAAACTGTGGAACAACGGTTGATGAAAGTGGGAGACTCACTGTTACCGTCACACGGTGGATGGTGTGCAGCTATCGCCTGAGTACTGTGTATGGAAAAATTGTGGACTGCTACTCCATTGACACTGCCGTCTTTCCGATCGTGGTTGGTGTGAAGTTTGGGAGTATTGCGGGCGGTCCTGTAAGAGAAGATATCCCAGAAAGTCAGAAAAGGTTGGACACCTTTAAATACTTCAAGTGTGGAGACCATTATACATGAGTAGGAAGGACAGACTGCAAGAACCTCCAGAGTGCAAGGCGGAATCGGATTGGGTGAGGTCGAAAGGACGACACTAAGCAATTTTTTGCTATATTTCTCATTCACGTTTGATTAGACAAAAGCTAAAGGGGGAAGGTTTTATAGGCCTTCGATGAGTTTACCTCGGCCAGCAAACGACCGTCCGAACTACTTAAAGCAATGTTTGTGGAATAAGCTTCCGCCGAAAATTAAGGCCACCTCCGTCCAGCCCGATAGTGTTTGCCTTGGAATCGATACCCAGTAGAATATTAACTCCTGAGGAAAATAAATTCATTTGTCCTGAAGGCACAAATATCATCCAACCAGGTGTCAGGAGGCAGCGTTTATCTCCAAATGCAAATGTGGCTAGGGGTTTGAAAATTGGCTTTTTCTCTGGCGGGCGTTTAATTTCCGAACCGCTCAGCCTCCGTTCATCGCAAACACAAACTGTTCCTCACAAAGACCATACAAGCTGATCACGTGAAAACCCTTAACTCTGAGTTCTGTAGGTGTGTAACGCACAGTTGGATCAAGTTGCGTAGGCGGACTATAGCAGACCGATTCTATCACACAAATCGGCTCACATACCTGATATTCTGTGGCACAGTCCGCCTTCCTAATAAGAATCTCTATCCAAGCAATACTGTTCATCAATGGAATGCATATGAAGGTAGAGTACACCGTATCTGAGCACATACACACACACCTTGCCGCGATACGACCTCAAACGTTCTGTTGGCGAACATGACGCGGAATCACATTAAAACCTGAGTTGGGACAATCAATGAAGGGCAAACTTGGCAGCGCTTCAAGTCCGTAATTTGAACACGCCCGTCGTATCTGACCTCAAAAGGTTTCAAAAGATGGCCAGAAACGTAAACGAACCCTTATATATTCAAGTTTTCAAGGACGAGATGGCCGAAGTGGTTAGAGAGTGAATTTACTGACCGGAAGGCCCGTGGTTCGAACCCGATCTCTGCCTCTCGACTTCCTCTGTCCAAGTTTGGGCAACCTGGCAGTATCCCAGTCCTCATGTACCCTTCGGGTGGCATGGCAGTTAGGCAGCGAAAGGGTGCTACAACTGAACGAAGTTTTCAAGAAAGCGTGCAAACGACCTACATGCGCATGTCAATGAAGAAGTCTGTGTGCACCTTTTGTCGAGTAGTGTAAGTCTGTGAGTTCATAGGTGATGAGCCAGCCCGAAGCGGAAATGTGAAGCCTGTTGTGAGCTATCGACGAGTTTTCAGCAACCTTATGAGTAGTGTATTACGTCTATAGAACTTAGTTTTGGTATGCGCTTTTGGGAAATGTTCAGGAAGCGGTCATCTGTGTGGAACTTGCAAAAACTCTTTTGTGTATGGTGAACCTTGGTAAGAAGACCACTAATCTACTTCACTAGCTCCGGTGTCTTCTATTTGAAAACAGAAGGCAGGTCGAAAGGTTTGCCTGTCCCATTCACAAGGAACTGTCCACCCCCTCGGTTCACGCCTTTTTTTCTCAGACATCTACGGCTTCATCTTGGGAGCACACGATTGAGACTTTGGGTCAATCTACCCCGTGCTTGAAAACATGTCATTGAAACAGAGCAGAATCTAACAGTTCTACGCACTTGTGTTCAATCCCGATTATGCTCAAAAACACACTGTTCCCTCTGTTCGGAGACTAACTCTCATTTCAATATGACCACATAGTTGAACGGACAGATTGTTTTCCCCTGTCGGATACGGCCGAGTTCGCTTGTCATTACTTAAAAGCGAAGTGAAACGAAAGGTACGAACTTCCGGAAAACAACTATTGTATGCAAGTTTCCTTGATCGATCAAGACGTCTACTTCCATTTGTTTGAGGGAGACAGCCTAAGCTGACTGCTAGGCGAGCATATGGTTGATGGGATATTTACTTGGAAATTTCAAAAGGTTTTGATGCTAATTTGGATCATCCAAACGGGTGTCTAGCACCACCGAGAATGGGGAAATTTATCCTAAATAAGACCACAACCACTGAGAGGTTAGCAGACTAGCAACTAGAATGGCACTGTTCAACAAGACTAACCGTGTTTGTGTTTTCGGTTTCTCTTTGGCCGAACAAATTCGGAGTAAAAGCTGATGGATGGGAGAGTCTGGATTGGTCGACTGGTTCACAATTCTTTCCGCACACGATTCCATTTCTTGGCGCAGCGGCTCCTGATCGCTCGATTGTTTACACATCTTGACAAGCTCACCAAGTCGGGCACCAACCTCTCCACCAGCAGGAGTCAATACTGCCGCTGCCAGAGCATCGCAGAAACGGGACAGATTGATCTGGCGCACGATTGGGACGCCCACATTTTGCAGCGCCAAATTCAACATTGCACCAATCTTGTTTTTTCCCAGCCCGTTTGTTGTGTACCAAATGATATCGTTGTCCGTGCCCATCAGTGGGGTGTTCATACTTGCATGACGCTCGGGTTGTAGATACAAAGGGCAAGAAGGAAAGTTCACAGTAAAAGGTCGGTGAGCGCGAAATCGTTGAAACAACCAGACTGGACAACGATCTGGTTTGTCTGGTTGTTCGGGAACCACAATGTTTGGTTCGGAAGACCGAAAAGAGTTTGGACTTTCGGAGCTTGGAGCCTGGTTATCAACTAGTGGACGCACGGTGCTTGAGTTGACGAAGGGCAGGGAAGAGGAGCATAGGTATTTTTATGGGGTTGATTAGCAAACAGAAAAAAGACTGCACGATAGTAGGGAAAATGAATGGTAGTTCCGTCCAACTGTTAAACCCTTTCAGTAGCTCAGTTGGTATTCACAGTCAGGTAAGTTTCAAATGACTGTGCATTGGGTTTCGCCATGAATCTAGCGCATCAGCTGGGTGCAGTGACACCTGCCTCGTGAGGGTGAAATCTGCAGCATCTGCTGATACACAAAAAAGCTGATCACATGGGCTATACTCTCACAAAATGTACAAAGTCCTCCATAAGTGCAACCCTAAGGCGAACACGAGGTTTCGCACACGTTTTTGTAATATAGTGCCTTTTAAACTGCTTGTACAATGCCCTCTCACTTGTGAGGAAACGTCTTCGATGGTTGGTATGTAGACTCGTTGATGAGAAATATCTTCGTGGATAGGAAGAGAATAGTAATAACGGCTTCAGATGCTTCCCGTAACTGGTCTACCGAGTACTAGCTTATATACAGGTCAGTGTGGCTTTAACAATCTATTTTCTGCACTGCTCAATTGACACCATAGGAGGATGGAATGGACACGAGTTTCGGTCTAACTGGAGTTTACCAGCTCAGTCGATACCGTGATTTGGACTCCAATCTAACACACGGGACAAATGTGTGGCCACTGTCCCAGCAGCGCACGCTGAAAGCAGCCGAGTAAATCAGTCGAGCAGAGTTCGTGTCATCTTGTTACCTAGTGTGGACCGAGATGTAGTCCAAATTTCAGTTCAGTATCACCTGTCTCCTCTTGGTGTGGACTGAGCAAGATGTCTGAAATGGGACAACTCGAACAAATAACAGTAAATCCTACAGCTGACCGCAAGAGACCATGGTCTAACTACGCAAAGGAAACTGTAAACGAGGAAATAAAGAAACAGGGGCTTACAGCAAACATTTTTGGGACCGAATATTTTAAAAACCGTTTCTGAACTCAGTTATTTTTCTCATCTTCAGTTTGAGCGAAGAGCGCGAATTCCCTAGAATGTGATTCGGGAAGCTGCTCATATTGTGAATTGATTGTGCTTCATGAAATCCGCTCCCGTTTCTTGCAGAAACGCAAGAGTTGAGACACCAGTCCCATGGTTAGAATTCCCCCATCGGAAAATATACAACCTCGCAGTATTTCGGCCTTCGTGCTTCCTTGAAATTAGTATGGCATCTGCTACACACCAAAAGAGTGCTACAGCTGCACCATTTCTCAAGATGGCTGCTTCACGATCCCATCTAGGTGAATCGGTACACAGATCTGAGTGTTCTAGTCGGGACCATCACACATGCGTTTAGTCGGATTGTTATGCATTACAGCTGCGCCAGAAGAACCTACAAGCACTGCCTGTGTCTGAACCTTTCAGCACGGAAATGTACAAAATCTCCTCGCTACTGACGAACACTTGTGAGTAGTTGGGTTAATTGGCGGATTTGTCAGTCGACCAGCGCAGTGCAACCCTCAGTGAATTAGGGGTGGGGCCAGTTCGCTGGAAGTTCAACGGAATTCGATTACCACATTATATAATGACTGATTATTCTGAATCCTTGCCCAGTAATATCGGAAACAACACACAAGTTTCTAAGTGTAGATCTCATCGCTTCACCAAGCATGGACATCCCACCACAGTCCAATTACAGCAGTTCTCGAAAAGGCAACCTCCTGGAGGAAATAATTTTCGGTGAGTCAAAAAACTCCCCTACCAAATATCACTCCAGACTCCAGGTAGACTAATGCATGTGAAATGGGTGCAACCACTGCCTCAGTTGGTGACAGCTATATCCCTCGCAAAGTTCATCATCATCGCATTATCATTGAGCTGGATGCGTAACTTCTGTACGGATTCGACACATTTTTTTCATTGCGTGAAACCGCACTGGCAGTCTGTTGTAGCGTGTCCTTTAAATTATCCAGTCACCAATCTGCACTACAACACCATAGCGATCCATGCTCGGAACAAATTCTCCTATGTGGGGCACTCCAACTGAACGTGCAAACAAAGGATGACCTAAGGTTCAGTTGGGTCGCTATTGCAGACAACATAGGCTGTATCAGCAGATGAAGATAAAAAGTAGTTGATATTGCGGAGGATGGACAGACCTCGTTGTTTGGAGTGAGCTATTTAGAAGGGTGTCTTCTCACGGACTGTCACGTATTTGTCATGTCCAATCGTTCGACCATCTGGTGAAAGGAAAAACATGAAGCCTACCGGAGTCTCTCTCGACATGCAATGACCTTTCGACAGGCAATGGAACGAGAGACCCCGAGGAGCATTGCCTATTGTGAGGGGTACTGTAAAACTGATTATCACTGGAGCACTAAGTCTACCTGATCAGTCCTAAACAGAAGGAAAACGTTGGCAGACCATCGACTAGTTTTTATAAACCTTATAAGCAGTATCTCGTACAAATACGACACCTCATGATTTTGGACACAAACTATTTGGCAATCAAGGCCAAATGATCTGAAAACGGGGTAATTCAAAAAGTCGACTGGGGTTCCTTTAGAGTGACGACGTAAAACCTTCGAAACTACAAAGAAAATTCAAAAGGCGGGCACAAGAAAACGCATACCGAAAAAACTGCAGTTGCTTCTGGCCCGTCACTGGGTCTGTTCCTATGTCCACGTTACCGTAAACCAGCTTGGCATGTTCGGTGCGGCAGCCAACGCCGAAATGGCGGGATATGATGAACCACATAGACAGTAGCAAGGGTTGCGGCCCGGTGGCTCCCAGCTCTCCGAATGACCATAGTCGCTCGATCAAAGTTCGTTCAAACAGTGGTCGAAGAATGGGCCGCCAATTAGCAAAGAATGAGGTCAAGGTGCCCAAAGAAGAACCTAGAGAAATTAATGCCAGAGTATTGGTTGCTTTCGTGTCCTGTGTTCCTAGACTTCTTGGGACCCCATCAGTCTTGGATTTTGAGTTTTCAGAAGCACCGTGGTCAACTTGAACCTTTTCAACTGTATGATCCATATCCTTGACAAAAGCGAAACTGTTACTTGCACCAGGAAAAAAACTGTCTGATCGAAGGTTCAGGTGCGATTCCAGTTCGTCTGTTGACTCCATACTTGAGGTTATTGAACTGATTGGTGGTGGGTGATTAGTGCCTACGTCGGAACATGAGACAGTTTCCGTATCACAATTAGTGCTGGCAGCGTTGAAGCGATTCGCATCGGCAATAGCTTCCATAGCTGCGGAAAGAGCCTCATCCAGAAGACTCGCCGTACCAGTACCATCTCCAACACTGTCATCGGAACTTCGGGCATGTGACGAATATTGGTGGATATCTCTATTGCCACAGTCATCTTCCTGAATGAGATCGCCATCGCCAGAAATCGGAGTCATATATCCCGGAGCTTCGATGCTTTCCGCAGTTGCTGCTTCAGCGTCCGTTCGGGGGAGGGGGCAGTGCTTTACTAGGCTGTTCATTGCATCTGGAATGGATAGAACACAGTGGGTGGTGTAGTGCAGGTGGTTACTACAAACGTCTGCAATCCAACTGCCAAGCCGAACAAATCGTGCTTTACTAGGCTGTTCATTGCATCTGGAATGGATAGAACACAGTGGGTGGTGTAGTGCAGGTGGTTACTACAAACGTCTGCAATCCAACTGCCAAGCTCAGCGAACAAATCAACAACCAAGCAGCGAACCCGAGCGACCTACACTCCACAACATTGGCAGATAGAATAATCAATCAAGTACAACTTTGAAGGGCATCTTCATCAACCGTATTACGCCTGGCACTCTCTATGGGTGTTCTGATAGAACATGTGGTTAAAAAACGATTGTGGTACCGCTGTAGGGTAATGTGTGAGACTGAGTAAACTTTCTTAAGGTTATGGTAATTCCTCGGAATTTCGCGTCATTTCTTGACCACCTGCTTTCCATTCCTCCTTTAAGCTTCTTCTAAATTACTGAATGATCACAGACGGTAGGGGAGTTAAATTTCTCATGGCGTGAAACGTCGAGCATTTATGACCCTGATACATGTATGAAGGCATCATTAAATTACTAATCTCAAGGTATTGTAACACTGAGTGTACTGCAGGCGACAGCTCTGAACGCTGTAGTGTGAATGGAGTGGTGATGGTGTGCCGGTCGAAGACGCATGCCTAGAAGACGATTTTCATTTACATCAATCTCGTTAAGACAGTCCTGTTCCTCCACTGGCATGATTATTCTAGCAAGTCCTCACCAAAGAGGGGATGTACTAGACTCGAGTTTCGCTCCTATTCGAACTCACCAGCCGAGAGTACGGGATTTGAACACCGGACGTCTGATATGTTCGGCCGGCGTGTTACCACTACCTTGCCAGTGTACGCTGGACACACCCGTATTATCACGCCAATAGAACATGCCCTCCGCTGGATGCACTCATACTTCCCATTGATGATACAGTTTGCTCAGTGTTGCCTTATAGTGCTCTGACATATTGTGGTTGTGTGAATTAATGGTTTACATCGGATTACAATGGGGTAGTATCAATCCGTTCATTTCCGGTGGAGTGACGACTCAGATGTACAAATGTTGCGCACAGACAAGGGATAGTTTTTTTCTCGGTCATGATACTCATGCTGTCAGATGAAACAAATACACGTCCGGTTGGGGAACCGATGGATCTGTTCCCCCTAAGTCTGGATGCGATCACTTTAAACGGTCAAATATCACTTCGATGGGACCGATGTGTCACGGGCCGGTTAAGGAGCCAATGAAGACATGGCCTGAATGATCAGCCAATCAGGATCGAGTATTTCGGGAGCGGTACTTCTCGCACCTCATAAAGATTCTAGCGTGACTTTGTGGAAACATCCGTGATGACCTTATAAAGACTGTCGTAATAATTTTCCCTTGTCTCCATAAAAGACTGTCTCAAGTTACTGGGCCTTTCAATTCACCTAGTGGGCGGAAGAGAAAACCAAGGAATGAAATAAAAGTCGTACTACCATCTGCAGAACACAACACCATATCCGCAGGATTTTCACAGTTAACTGTTGAACAGTTTATTTGCCCAAATTCCGTCTGCCAAATAAACACCTCATGGCACTGGAGTTCGGCTGCCAGTTCATCAGCTCTGAAACGAACTAACCTGTAAATCTGGCTCTACATGCCGGTCAACACGAAATCTAGCTAAATCATCAATGACGAAAGGTGAGAGAGGACAGCCCTATCGGACACCACTGGATGTGGTGAACTCAGGAGAGAGCTTCCCGCAGCAAACGAAGAACAACAAAGGATCGCTTTCCATTAACAAGACGGGCAAATGGGCTTCTCACTGAAGGCTATAAAGTCTCCACAGATAACAATTCACAATTCTTCAGTTTGGCTCGGAAAGATGCTCAAAAGATCTAGAGCTTAGTACATCAGCAAGCACGACAAAGGTAAGCGAAGAAAAGCGACCATAGGGTAAGTACGACTGGCTATGCCTAAAAAAAAACAATTTGCAGAGCTTGCAATTGGAGAGGCCACAAACACTCGGTTGCCCCTATGTACACATAATTTATTATGCTTCATATATCAATAGTTATTCCTAAAGCCGAATCACTGACGGGTTACTTTCATCAGTGTCGCCAACTAGGCTGCCACCATGCGTCGCTTGTGCCAGGGTGACTGGGTTAGTGTTCGGTGATTCAGACCAGTCCTGAAACTTACAGCTAAGCATATGCGATGGGTTTTCACAAATAGTCGATTCATTTGTGGTAGGCTCGATTCTGTATCCTATACGGAACTGAACTGGACTGCATGTTCGAGTCAGGGGCACTTTGTTTCCCAACATTTTCTCTCATTAAAAGCCGAAACGTATAGCATACGTAGGGGGTTGTCAGCGCTACGAAAAAATAAGCCAAAAGTGTTTTTCTCAACAAGAAAAACTGCAGTTCGTGTTTGAACGACTGGATTCGAGTCCTGGATTAATTAAGTTTGGTGAGCTCGATACCATGAGCGCATCACCAGTTTAGAACTCTATGGGCTCGTTCGAATGAATTGCTATCTTCCGGAATTAAATTTCATCAAGTCCAATTGATAATATAATGATTGTTCAGCTGTGACATTCTTTTGGTGTCTGCTGCAATGCTAGCTGAAGAGAAGACGAGGGCTGAGATACTGCCAGATTGCCCAAGCCTAGACAGCAGTTGAGATGCGGAGGTCGGGTTCGAACCACGGACGTTCTTGTCAGTAATTTCATGCCTTCACCACTAAGAGATCTCGAGCTAAAGTCAAACTGAACAGACAGGAATAGCTGGTATACTGTTTTAAGAGCTCCACTGTTGAGAATATTACTGATGCCGTTAAAAGCTGGCTAGTAGCTGTTGTCCACGACCAATCGGGTCAATGCAGAATTAAATATCGGATTTGATCCTGAACAAAGCCTCGCATCAGCAAACGGTTTGTTGAAATTGGAAAGATACTTATGTGGTTCAGTCGTGCTTGCCTACATTGCAGACATCCGTTCTGAGTCCACGCATCGTTTCGTTGGGCAGATTTGTTCCAGTTGCACGAAGTAATCAGGGAAAACACACCAGTTTTCGCTTATTTTCTACCAAGTTATGCCACCTCATCCGATTTGTGAAATGTGGATAAGCAAACGTGAATGAGTTTATAGGTTACATTTTTGAAAAAAAAAACTTAAAAATACACCACGAAAAGGGCACTTCATCCAGTAGGATGCCAGTTTTAGCCTAATTAATGCCATTGAATTGCAATTGAGGAGTGATTAAAAGCAAATATCAGATTTAAAAAATTGCTCTCCTAATTCAGTTTCACCTCATTGCTTAGTTGTGATATTTAGATTGTACTCAAAAATCAATGTTGATGGGAACTAGGCAGTATGTCTTTCAGTAGATGTTGAATATCACCAGAAAGTCGCTATCCCCAGATCTTCCGTTCATGGGTTCTCAAGTACTTATTTGCTCAATAATGTGCAGAAATACTGGCAGCTTGGCTGCATTCATTGGTAACTGATCAGGTGATTATTGGTTTGTTCGCCAAGTTTGGAGGTTTCGTCACCATCCGAGGAAACATCTTCAGTGAGTGGATGTTGCTTAGCTATCCACATTGACACATATCGATTTAACTGTTTGGAATCAAANATGACTGCTGGTAAGAATCTTGTCGACGTCGTATTCACCTTTCAAGATGAGGGCTAAGTGCAAAGTCAGTTGAATAAACTGATCGCCATAATACCATCTTTTGGTATGCGCCTTACATCTTCAAAGCGCAAATAATAATAATAATAATAATAATCATTCAGTTTTAACACCCTTTCGACGCATAGCTACCATTCCAAGCACGAAGGTTGAGGTGTTGTCAGGTTGCCCAAGACGCGAAAGGACCAGTCGAGACGCCGAGGCTTGGCTCGAACGAAGAATTCTCGGTCAGTATGTCTGCGACTGAAACACTGAGCAATATCGAGCTCATATTACAAGGTAAAACCACAAAAGTCCACCTGATTGCACAAGTGAGTTAGCCTCATTTGGTAAAAGTAGGAATTTGACTCAGGTTACTGTCACACGGTCGTTCAGCTGTAGCACCCTTTCGGTGCTTAACTGCCATGCCACCAAAAGGAAGCACGAGGGCTGGAATACTGCCAGGTTGTCCAAGCCTAGACAGGGGAAGTCGAGAGGTAGACGTCGGGTTCGAACCACGGATCTTCCGGTCAGTAAATTCGCGCTCTAACCATTTGGGCCATCTCGCCCCCTGTCACACGGTCTTCAACTGATATGTGTACAGTTTAAACACTTTTGAACTGCACACACCTTTGTACCTCGAGAGGAATCTTCCGTGCGAGTACTCGGCAGGTATAACGAACTCATTTGCGAGTGTATGTCGACCGGACTTTATAAGTGCGTTTTTTCCGTGGATATTGTGTATAATGTACGTAAAATACCTTGATTTTAATAGTCTAATTGGAATTGCCCGTTATTGTGGTGTTAATTCAAAAACAGCCTTTTATTTACTTGTTCTAGTGCTCAGAACCCAAATACTATGGGGTCATATTGATATTATATGCAACTAGTTGCGTATCGCTCATCATGTGACCTTACAGATGTAGGTGGGATTCGAATTCAGACAGGCTGAAGGACAAAAAGATGTTAAACCAGTCCGAAATCACATGCACTTGATTGCAACAACCAGATCCTGATTGTATCTGGTAGCACGTGATTTGGGTGTGACCCGATCATGTCGCTTTATTTTGGTCTCAACTTGAATGGGTGCAAGCCTCCTGATTACGATCATCAACGACCAGGTAATAATGCATCGCATACACGAGCAGTTCATTGATACTACGTTGAAATGAAGTGCACAGAGTCTAAAGATAGTGGAAAGACAAGCAAGTAGTGTAGGAAACCGTTCAACGGCTCATCAGTTCTTAGGAAAACGCACGACTATGATAAGCGACAGACAGACTCGAGTGCTTTCGCGGCTTACATCTTTTCTTTCCAATTTTTCATATATATATGGCTTTTTATGATCAACGCTATTGCTGCCTTTGACGTGAACGAAAAAGAATAACGATGTCATTGCAGCCGATAGACAATAATAAAGAAAGGGACCGTAAAAAGAGTGTAAATTCCTGCTAAGAACCAGATTCGGAGTGTAAGGTGTCTCGCGAGGAGACATTTCGATCACGACCCGAACGTAAGATTACGGTATATTCGGGAAAGGCCATTTCACGCGCGTGAGAAAACTACAAAACCGTCCAGCTGTGGCACCCTTTCGGTGCCTAACTGCCATGCCACCAGAATGAAGCACGAGGACTGCGATACTACCAGGTCGCCCAAGCATAGACAGGGGAAGTCGAGAGGCAGAGGTCGAGTTCGAACGAGTGCATTAAACTGAAATGGAGACACATGAATAGCAACTTTCTGATAAGTACAAGTGACCTTATCGCGATAGGTCTGTAATATCGAGGCTTGACAGCATTTGGACGAGTTAGTAATGCCACAGTTTTGAGTGAAATTCGGCAGTTGTCAACATCATTTAATTAACTCAGGACACGTCATTTACTGTGACAGTGAACTAAGATGAATGATGCATCTAAGGGTCATCTCTGTTAAAGTTCCATCCGCGAATAGCAGATAGGTCTGGATGTTCACGCGTACTGGTCCAATTACCCCCAACCCCTACAAACACACACACACACAGGACTGCATGCCTTGAACCCGAGTCATCTAATACTACAAATCGTTCAGCTGCACCACCATTTCGCTGCCTAGCTGCCATGCCACACGGAGGAGGCACGAGGGCTGGCATACTGCCAAGTTGCCCAAGCCTAGACAGGGGAAGTCGAGAGTGTCATGAATATTCTTTGTGCTCACATTATCGTTTCGTATTAACCATGCCTTCGCCTTTATTTTCAGCTTATGTACGTCTATTCTTAGACAAGCAAAGCGCTATTCTTTCTACGCCATCCATTCTTGTTCTCGCGCTCAATCAGAATCGATATTCTATTCGTAACAATTTACTTGTCTAAGAATACCATGGAACCGTTGCTGCGACCCAAGTGTTTCGACGCAGATCCTAATTCTCCAGACGCAACAACGCGTTGGAATCATTGGTTCCGAACCTTCCAAACGTTTCTGGGCACTGTCGAATCGCCCAATCTAAATAAACTCGAAACTCTGATCCATTTTGTGGATGCACCTGTATACGTTTATATCGCTGACTGTCCAGATTACGAATCAGCTATCAGTGCACTTGAAAAGTTGTACGTTCGTCCAAAGAATATAATTTATGCTCGCCATCTTCTACAAACTTGCAAACAAGACACCAGTCAAGATGTTGATCAGTTTGTTCAGAGGCTTAAATCCTTGGCCAAAAATTGTGATTTCAAGGCGGTGTCCGCCATTGACCATCAAAACGAAAGTGTACGCGATGCTCTAATCAACGGACTTCAGTCTACTACCATCAGAGAACGACTTCTAGCTCAAAACGAACTCACTCTCGATGAAGCTCATGAATTGGCCAGGTCATTAGAATTGGCCCACAAACAAGCTCAGTCATACTCACATAACCAGGCGATATCATTTTCTGCGGCTGCAGCACCTTTACAGACATCTACAGTTATCCCTTCACACTCAAACTCCCCTGATTCTACACCCTATCTCTCGTCAATCAGTTCTCAGATATGTTACTTTTGTGGTCGTTCCAGACATCCACGGTCAAAGTGCCCCGCAAGAGAAGCAGTTTGTAAATCATGTGGCAAAACAGGCCATTTTCAGCGTGTTTGTCGATCCAAATCTGTAAAGTGTCACTCAAATTGCACAACGGATTCGGCCTTATCTTCCCTGTTGACTGCTGCGGCCCCGAACTGCTTGTCTCGCACGGTGACCAGCATAAAGGTGAACGGGATATCGCTTCAGGCCCTCATAGACACAGGAAGTTCGAGCAGTTACATATCTCCTTTGGTGGTTGGTAAACATGGCTGGAAGGTATATGCTAACAATTCTGTGATTACCATGGCATCTACCTCTCTGACGTGTTCAACTAGAGGCTACTGCTACGCATCCATCGATTACAGGGGCACCGTTTACAAAAAGATCAAACTATTGGTATTACCCAATCTATGTGCTGACCTGCTGCTAGGCCATGACTTCCTTGGTCTACATAACAAAGTTGAAATCACATTCGGTGGGGACCGAGGTCCATTCACCCTCTGCGGTCTACCTGCTGCTGCGGTCGAGTCACCTCCTCTTTTTGCTAACCTCTCACCCGACTGCAAGCCTGTTGCTACAAAATCGCGACGTTATAATCCGGACGATGAACAATTTATCCGCTGTGAAGTTAATCGACTATTGGATGAAGGTATAATCGAACCTTCGAGTTCTCCATGGAGGGCTCAAGTACTGGTCACGAAAAATTCAAACCACAAAAGACGCATGGTAGTGGACTACAGTCAAACCATTAATCGGTTCACATACCTAGACGCGTATCCGTTACCGCGACTGGATAAAATGATCGAAGAAATTTCCCGTCATACTGTCTTTAGCACCTTAGACCTATTGAGTGCTTACCATCAAGTTCCAATCAGTGAGCAAGATAAACCGTATACGGCTTTTGAAGCATGCGGAGAGCTGTTTCAGTTCCGTCGTATTCCTTTCGGTGTAACCAACGGAGTAGCATGTTTTCAACGTACTATTGACCAAATAATCAAGTCTGAGAACCTAAGTAGCACCTACGCTTACATCGACAACGTCACTATTTGTGGGACTACCCAAAGTGAGCATGACCAGAACCTCAAATCTTTCTTTGAAGTAATAAGAAAATATGGAATTACCCTTAACTGTAAGAAAAGCATCATAGCAGCCAAACAAATACGCCTTCTGGGCTACGAAGTCTCTAAAGGAATTATCAAACCAGATCCTGAACGAATGAAACCTATTCGTGAACTCCCTCATCCACATGACGCTAAATCCCAACAACGTGTTGTTGGTATGTTTGCTTATTATTCGCAATGGATACCATGCTTCTCTGACAAAATCAGTGTGCTTGTCAGAAATAAGACTTTCCCCTTACCGGAGCGTGTGCAACAGTCTTTCAAAAATTTAAAGAAGGAGTTAGAGAACGCCATGGTTGTGACAGTCGACTACAACGCACCATTGGTTGTCGAGACTGACGCCTCAGACATAGCCATTGCTGCATCTCTGACTCAGAACGGCCAACCGGTGGCCTTCTTTTCTAGAACACTGACACCGAGCGAAAAGAATCACTCTGCTATTGAGAAGGAGGCATACGCCATCGTTGAATCTATCCGTAAATGGAAGCATTA